CCCCTCTCCTGCCCATGCATGCCATCCTTGCATCAAACCTCACTACTGACCACACACTAAAGAAATGGAATGCCTCCCTTCTGTGTCTTTGTTCTCATTGATCCCTGTACTTGGCCCATATTCATCTCTTACTCATTCTATTTGTGGAAATTCTCTTCAGCCCTCATAGCTCAGCCATATATTTTCTCCTCCACAAAGTCTCTCCCAAACTTAAAGTAATTTCTCCCTCCTCTGCGATCAAATATCATCTCACAGTTCTTTCATGTAACTTACAGCGCTTTGACACTCTGCCATGCATTCATGTATGCAGTTTGATCACCATTACTGGATTGTTAACTGTAGAGGCAAGATAGTCACCGAGAGAAGCAGAAGCAGAAGAGGCAGGAGAGAGAAGGGGAGAAGGAAAGCCAGAGAAGCCCAGAGTGAACTCTTGCCGGGGGCTTGGAGGCCTACCTGGCCTCCTGAATCCCCTGCCTGCCATGTATCTGGTTGCTGCTCTATATGTAACAGCTCAATAAAAACCTGAGAAAGCCACCGAGGGCTCCAAGACTCTCCTTTATCATCTGCCGGATCATAGATAACCTACTCAGTGCCCACCTTGCCCCTACATTAACTCTTTGAGAACCAGTGTATATATCTTAAGCCTTATATACACATTCATTCATCTATTAAACTAACATTTGTGGAGTATTTACTACCTTCTGGACATTGACTATTAAACCTTGTCTTCAAGAACTTACAATCAAATGTGGAGAAAAAAAACTCTCAAGACCAGTTTCCTTTAAAAACTCAAAACCAGGGGCCTCCCCGGTGGTGCAGCGGTTGAGCGCTGGGTTGCAAAGCTGCCCACAGCCTCTGCAGTGCCAGTTCGATCCCCGGCTCCCAGGGGAGGGTCCCACATGGCGCACAGACCTCTCCTGCCGCCCGCTGCTCTCCTCAGCAGTGTAATTCATCAGTCTGCCTGTTCTGCTCTCTGCTCTGGCTCTGGTGAATTCTCTCACCCTCCCACGTTTCTGACTGTACCCAGTGCTTGCATAAATAAATAAATAAATAAATCTTTTAAAATAAAATAAAAAGCTTAAAAAAAAAGAGAAATCTTCTTGCCATAAAAAATAAAATACAGCAAAATAAAAACTCAAAACCAGCTCCTTTAAGGTTGACCGTCGAAGGAGCCTATCCTTGTGGAGAGGAGAGCCTGAACTTGACCACCTTGCTTTGAACAAGAAGCCCATTTTCCCCTGAGGAGCCCTCATTACCTGCTGTGTCCCATTATGTCCCATTAAGCTCAGTATCCCTTTAATTCTTCAACACCAGGGTGGACACATTAGCTTTTCTTTAATTTCTCATAGTGGAGCAAAGACAGAGTAAACATCTATACAAAGCTTATCTAAACACTCAGGGAGAATAAAAAGAAAATGAACAGAAAGTAACATGCCACTAATAATATAGCTCATAAGCTGTGACACAGTCAGGGTATCCTGGGGTATCAGTGCACAACTGCTTCCAGGAGTGGGTGTTCTCTGTAACTCCTCTTACTCAGGAACCCCAGCAAAACTCTCAGGTTCCTGAAATCCAAACCCTGCCTGCCGAGGTGACAGCAGCATCCCTCTCCTGGTTGCCTCAGTCTGGGCTCCTGGTTCCAGTCTCCTGACTGAAGTAATAGTGCACCAAATGGTCCCTTCTCTAGATGATTAACCCAGGAATATGCGAGTGTGAGGCCCCAGTCCTACCTCAAAGGGATTGCATTAGTCCATCGTTTCTTGCTAGACACTATTCTCTCTCTGCATCTTTGCCCAGATGACTGCACAGTGTAAAAATTCTTTTAAAAATTATGACTGCTGATTTTATATGTCCAACCTCAACCTCTTCACAGAGCTGCAAGGCCACATATCCAATCACCTATTTGACAGCTTCACTTACGTGCCTCTTAATAGGGTGAAAAGGTACTTGAGTTTTCTTTCCAAAGCTGTTCTTGCTTCAGGCCTACCCAACCTCCAATTTCCCCATCTTTGTAAATGATTTCACTATCCATTCAACTACTCGAACCAATACCCACGAATCATCTTTAAGCCCCCAATTCCCTCTTCTAATCCAGAAACAAACCCTGTTGATTCTATTGCTGAAGTACATCAGAAATCCATTCTCGCTCCAATTCTACTATCAACAACCTAAGCCCAGACCAACATTTTCTCTTGTCTAAAAGACCACCTCTGGACCGGCCTCCCAGTTCCACTCCTTCCCATTTCAATCCATTTTCTATATAGCAGCAGAAGTGAGATTTTAAGCAGGTGAACAGTTATCTGCAGCCTAGAAGCCTTCAGTGACATCCCACAGGATTAATTTCAAATGCCTCTACCATCTTCTATAGACTGGAAATTCATATGTTAAATCCTAAAGCCCAATGGGGTAGTGTTTGGAAGTGTGGTCTTTGGGAGGTTTTTAGGTCATGAGAGTAGAACTGTTATGAACGGGTTACTCCTTATGACTGGGTATCTTATAAATGAGATGCCAGAGAGCTCCCATGCCCCTGCCACCATGTGAGGACATAGTGAGAATACAGCTGCCTATGAACTAGAAAATGGACCTTTTCCAGACACCACCAGAATCTGCCCTGGCCTGATCTTAGACTTTCCAACCTCCAGAAATGTGAGAAATACATGTTTGTTTTTTATGCCACCCAGTCTGGAATTTTTTGTTATAGCAACCCAAACAGCCTGAGACACACCCACCATCTCTCTAGTTGAATCTCTTTTAATTCCCCTTCCTTACCCCACCAGAGGAATATGTTTTCTCCCCAACTTAAAATATTCTTCCCCCAATCTTCACATAACTTCTTTTCTTCCTTTGGGCCTTCCTTAAGTCACCTTCTCAGGGAATCTTCAATCACTACTTTATCTAAATTTACACCCCCTACCCCCGGCTTCCTCTTCCTCTGCCATTGTGGGCTATTCTCTAGTCTTTATAACACCCACTACAGCTGTAATTACTGCCTTTATTTCTCTATTGTCTTTTTTTTTTAATCAGTCTCTATCTATCTTGCTCACCTATTATAAGGCACAGTTCTGCCACCTAAGAGGACTCACAAAATGTTTTAGGAATAAATGGACTGTTGTGATCACCTCCTATTTCACCCCATTGGTAAAGGAAAGATTCCCACCCTAAATATGACAGGGCCTCCCTGGTGGCGCAAGGTGTTAAGCACCACACTATGAAGCAATCCACAGCCTCTGCAGCACGAGTTCCATCCCTGTCCACCCAGGGCACAGCAGACCTCTCCAGTCTCGCCCGCTGCTCCCCTCAGCAGTGTATTTCAGTCAGTCTGCCTGTTCTGCTCCCCACTCTGTCTCTGGTGAATCCTCTCACCCCCCCCCACACCTCTGGCCTGTACCCCAGTTCTTGTATGCATAAATAATCTTTTTTTAAAAAAGAATTTAAAAAAAGTAAGAAGAAAGACAAAAACACGAGTATAGTAACAAGAAGATCCTGTAAGTAATGACTAGGGAGGGTTAATGTGGTAAACTCTGGTATGCAAAGGTTATGGGGATGGCAAGTGATCACAAAATTATACATTGCCACAAACTGGCATCATCATCTTGGGCAGGTTATCTAGATAAATTCCTTGGATCTGAATGTCCTTATCTGTAAAATGAGAGGGCTGGACTACTTGATTTCTAAGATCTTTTGCAACTTTAAATTTCCATTTTAACAGTGGTCTTAATTTGGGGAGGAGAGGGCAGTGAAATCTTTCAGTAATGAAAACAGCTAATTGACATGCTTGATTGACATGGGATCAGAGTCCTGGAGTTCTGTACCCTTGACGGTAATCTGCATCCCTGCTGTGGCCTCTCAGCTCCATAGACTTCACTTCTACATAATTCCATTTGTAATTTAAATAAAATTATGTATTCATAAAAATCAGACTACTGATAGAACCATGAGTATTCTTGTCACAAAGGGTCTATTAATTTTATTTGTTAATAACAAACACTTAAAAAAGTTTAAGTTAAATAACTAGAATTTCAAATTGTGACACTTTCGTGACTCTTATTTTAAATCACTAGCAAAATATTAAATCTTTCAAAAAATGGAATTTCCTCCAAAGTTTATTCAATAATGTTGGGGAAGAAGAGGGCTTGGATAATAAAAGACAGGTTTTCAGAGTAACATATTATTTTCTAGGTAGTTATTTAGATAAAAATTATTCTCAGAGGGAAAAAACAAACCTTTGCTTTGCAAATACTTGTTTCCTGTGTCCCAGACTTGGCTGCTTCCTGTTTACCGAAAGTAATTGTTAGTAATTGGAAGTAAAGACCAGAAACATGTGCCTCTTGTCAGTCACCTGCTGAACTTGTTATACTTTTAACACTCCCAAGTTTAAAAATGTCCTTTTAAAACTTTAACTTACTCAAAACTACCAGTAGAAAAACTCAGAGATCTGAAAGTTTCCCTCAAGTTTCTACTTCCAGCATCCCCTTTTGAGTATTAGCTAAAATTCTAAGATTACATAAACCAATGGTACAATTTATTAAATTTTCTAAATTTAAGAATATTGGTTATTTCCCCCACTCACACATCTAAATCCTAAATCCTAAGGTGTGTTTTTGTCTCCAGAATAGTTCAGTATACCCAGTTTTGCTTACATTCTCATTCTCTCCATGTGGGTGTCAGCATTTCTCTCTACAGTGTCCTTCCCCCTCCTTCATCCAGCTTTTTCTCTCACCACCGTAACCTTTTTTTTTTTTTCCCCAGACAGGTCTCAAAAACACCATCTGTTCCCATTTTAAGGTCCTAATACAGAAGATAGGTTCAGGGGAAACATTCTTTGAACCCCAAATCCTAGTAGATGCAAAGTTAACCAGGATTTTTCCTGATTTCTTTAAAGTTATGAAGTCCCATCCCAGACAAAAGACAGTAAATTGTATTTAGGTATTCATTAAAAGCAATATGAAACTTTTAAAGATACTTTAATAATACATTTAGATTAGAACTGTCTAGAAAAATCCAGGTCGTATTGTTTGCATAATCCTCTGGCCTTTTTTAGAGGGTGTCTAGCTGTGAGCCTCCAGCTCCCCGAGAGACTTAACTGTTCTTTATTCTAAGGAACAGGCCGAACTTTTAACTTGGTGGCAAGGGCTCCTGCGCTCTTGCGGGGAAGACTCGGTAATAAGCTCCTCGCTACGGAAGGTGGTGCTAGTGGGTCTGAGGGGCGAACTGACTTGCACTAGAGCTCCCAGAACTGAGTTGATGGTGAGAAGCTCGAGATTTCTAAAGCGAACTCGCCGAGTCTGGATTCTACACCTCAAAGTGAGACTTCCAGTAACTCAAAAGAGTTTGAGGTAAAGGCAGAAATACTTTGGGGGTGAGTGATCCCGAGATGCAATTTGCATCCAAGCTACGGTTGTGTGTCCTCGGAGCTGGACGGTAGCTTCTGGGGACAAGGGTGCAGAGCGCCGAGAAAAGTTGTCGGGGCGGAGAGAAAGTGTGACGAGGAAAACCAAATGTCTTTCATCCCCTGGAGACAAAGAGGTGCCTTCTTTTGACAACAGCTGCCAGTGCCACACACACCATACGGTGGGGCCGGAGGGGGAGGGGAGCCCGGGAGGAGAGTGTCTGAGGCGGGGACCCGCTCTGACTTTCAATAATGGGGGTGGTTGTCATGGTGACAAGCCATACAGCTAAAGGGGGTGGCTGAAAGGACCCATTGTTCTGCAGCCGGGCTGCCCGGGTGGTGCCTGTTTCTAAGAGACACCTTTAAACACCTCCTTGATTCAGGGGAGGACTGTGGACCAAAGCTGGGAGAGGATCTTGGGGTGTTCCACGCCGGTCCCACATACCATAGATCGCAGTGCCACCCCGGCTCAACACCCTCTGGAGAAGGAACAAGCGGCCACTTGCTCTCAGAATTGCCTCCTCCCACGCAATCAAGCACCAGAAATGGGCTGAGGACACGTGCGCTTGCTGCTGCTCAGACTCACACACACCCTGACACACAGTTAATAACACACCCGGCTCTCACCAGGGCCTAAGTAGGCAGATGAACAAGAGACTTGTAGTAACAATGCTGAAGGAAGAACCGGTAACACCGCAAATACTTGCTAAGGTTTTGGGGTCAGGAGATTTCGGGAAAGTCCCACAGAATCACTTTTCAGTCGTGCTGGAAGAAAAAGAACACAATCACAGCGTAAGGAAGATGAAAAGTTACAAGGCAGCATTGCAATCTTGTTTGCAAGAGCAAACAGTTGGGAAAAACCTTGAAGTTCATCCCGGAGGCCTGGTTAAATAATATAAGGTCATCTATCTAATGAAATATTAAGCTGCCATTTAAATACATAAAAGGAGGGTTGTATACGTAGAGACAGGGAAAATTTTCTGATGTAGTCAAAGTAATGAAGCAAGAGGCAGTGTGAGGAGTGATTGAATGTATATACACACGCTCATGTGTTTGCATGAGTGTGTGCGTTTCTCCAAGTGGTTGCTTCCTAGCAGGGCAACTGTGGGACTAGACTTCATTTTGTACCTTTTGAATATTATCCTATGTATCATATTACTTGGGTTTTTTTTTAAGAACTTTATACTTTCATTTGCTTAACACTATTGAGATTTGGAACTCTCTGTGAGGCATCTGAACTCTTATTTTAATGGTTTCATAAATACTAATTTTAAAAATAAATACCATAACTTCATAGAAATGTAGAGGAAGTCATAATTAGAAGTCCAACATGAAAATACACATCTCTGGGAGCCAACAGACACTCAGCAACCCACTGTATAATTCTGTCTACCTGTTATTATATCAAATTGGTCATAAGAACTCCGAATTAAACAAATATGACATTACATCGGGGTGATCTTCCTAATTACACAATGGCAGATAATCTGCAAAACAGACTACTGAATTCCAATGTCATAAATAATCTTTCTACACAGATAAAAACAAAAATCATTACTTAGCAATGACTTACTGAAAAGTTATAATTTTGAACATTGACTGCGTGATTACCGAACACTATGAAGATTCGTGTAACCTTCCAAATGAAGAAACATGTAAAAATATTCTTCAGTTGACCAAACATGGCATACAACTGTGAAAGTCAAAGGGCTTGGATTTGCATGCTCATTTGACTAAAACCTATCAACCTCTACTTAGACGTTATTTTTTAAATTGTGGTAAAAGTATGGGTTCAGGATGTCTTCAATCCTGTGATTTCACAAATTGAATGAAAGAAATCTGAACATTGAGGATTGGACTACAGTTGAAGAATCATCCATCATCCATAGTGTAGTGGGTTTGTAAAATTTTAACTCATGATATAGGTGGTTTGGGCTGTGCGGAGTAAATAGGAAATCTTTGCTTTGTGTATAAAACTATGGTTGTCTTTATTTACGGGTCCATGCAAAAAAGTTTAATTGAAATGTAGCCATGATTGTTTATTTATGTATTCCCTATGACTGCTTTTGTGCTACCTTGGCAGAGCTGGATACTTAATTTGTAAGACAGACCATATAGGCCACAAAAACCAAAATATTTACTATGGCCTCCTATAGAAAAGGTTTGCTGATCTGTGATCTAGAGTGAAGATTACATACTCAGAAAGGCAAAGGTGGGAAGGACTTTTTTCATTTAAAAATACTATTCTCATTCTAAAAGTGTAATTTTTACATTTACCGAAGTATTCCACTCCTGTTCAAAACTGTTCATTCTGGGCTGTCCAACGGTAACATTGAGAAAATAACACCAGTCCTTACAGGATTAGAATGTCATGTGTGTTGCTATACATTTCATTTGGTCACATGCTATTTTTTTATCTGTGGGATAGAGCTAGCTCACTGATGAACACACATACCTTTGCTTAGGAGGCTGTTCTTTTTTTTTTTTTAAGATTTATTTATTTATACAAGTATGGGGGTGCAAGCCAGAAGCGTGGGTGGGTCAAAGAATTCACCAGAGACAGAGCAGAGAGCAGAACAGGCAGACGGACTGAACACACTGCTGAGGGAAGCAGCAGGCAAGACAGGAGAGGTCTGACGTGCTATGTGGGTATCTCCCTGGCTGGCCGGGAATCCAACAGCTGCACAGCACTGCGCCACGGGGAGGGGGAGGCCCTGGAGGCTGTTCTTAACCAAAGACCTTTCAGGAAAAGAGAGACACTATATGCTACTTTGTCAAAGTGAAGGAGTTATTAAGAATTGAGACACGGGCCTCCCCGGCGGCGCAGCGGTTGAGCGCTGGGTTGCGAAGCTGCCCTCAGCCTCTGCAGCATCGGTTCGATCCCCGGCTGCTCCCTGGCCACCAGAGGAGGGTCCCACATGGCCCACATGGCGCACAGACCTCTCCTGCCGCCCGCTGCTCCCCTCAGCAGTGTACTTGGGTCCTTCTGCCTGCCTGCTCTGCTCCCTGCTCTGGCTCTGGTGAATTCTCTCACCCTCCCGCGCTTCTGACTACCCAGTGCTTGTATAAATAAATAAATAAATCTTAAAAAAAAAAAAAAAGAATTGAGACACGTAGTTTGTGATATCACAAGCAGTAGTTAGAACCAGCTTAGGGGAACGATTGTGTTTCCTTTAGATTCAAAGAATCACATTCCCTTTTCTTTTTAAAGCTTCTGTGACTCTGGAAAACATGGAGATGGTTACATGCATTTGCAGAAGAGCCCCCGAGGGAAAGAGCACTGTGCCATCTGTGGGGACAATAGCTGCTAAAGAGTAGAAATTGTAAGAAAAATCATGTAGGGGGATATGAATCCCAAGTTGCCCCCGCTTCTCCGTCACTGTCCCTGTCACCGTCGAGTCCAGAGCAGAGTTAGTTGCTCCCTCATTGCACAACCAGAAAGTCGTAGGTTATGCCAATGGACAGTAATAACTTATAAGAGCCAAAAGCTGGAGGTGTCTTAGGCAGCAAGCCAGATGACTTTGAAATTTTGTTTCTTTAAGCTGGGAAGAACTCTCTGGAAGCTCCTCCACCCAGCTAACAGCTGACCTGTGTTGGCTTGTTTTAAGTACTCATGAAATTGGCCACAATACAGAACACTTATGAAGCACTGGACTTACCAGTAGGGAGAGAATACTTCCTGTGTAATTATGTTCATGCTATCACTCTGTTCAGCATCACTCAGAGGTTTAGGCAAATAGTTGTTCTAGCTAATAAAAATTAAATTCTGACTATAGAAGCTAGGTGGTAGAATTATGGATGTTCGCTTTACATTTTTGTCAGGTTTTCTGTATGTTTGAATTTTTTTCTCATCAATTGTGGGGGAAAAGTCAGATTCTGATTTGAAAGTTCCATTTTCTCCAGTTTTTGAGGAACAAAGTTAGACTGATACTTGAATAAATATTAGACCTTCACAATTAAAAACATTTCCTTCCTCCAAATAAACCATCTCAATTCAGAGCATAAGGATATTATGAATAATGAAAACAGGATGGGATTTGCAAGCTAAAATAATTTCAGTAGCCCTTGGCTCCCACCACTAATCTTGCATAGCATCTTGGATTTCATACCCAGCGTGTTCCCTAGGGTTCTATGGCAGAACCTAGGACAATGAAGCATGTATAGTCCAAGCATCACAAGTAATAGGGGAAGGAGCTGGATCAGCTGCTCTGGAACCATCTGAATGCATAGGTCATAGACATGGATTTGGTTACTGTTCCCTAAATGTGGACTGAAAAATCTGGTGTTCTATGCATCACTGAACAGAGCCTCACCAGATTAAAGGTCTTCAAATTTGAGTAGTTAGCCCAGGCTCCCTAAAGCAGGACTAGGAGACTGGTGTTAGGTGCCAGTAGCAGGGATAAGGTCTTACAGAACTCTATAATAACTTAAACAAAAGTCTTAGAACATTTATCAGGAAGGTGTTAGCCCTAGCAAGTGAAATAAATAAGCAGACAAACCTATGGTGCAGAGTTTTTCCTCAAGAAGCACTTGTATGGTTTGTGCCCTTGGCTCTGATAAAGAGAGGAGATGTGTGCCCTAGGAATTAGGGGAGCAACAGGGCTCAGAAGGCGCAAATTAAAATTATAATGAGGAGTCCCTGGTGGGTTCCGTAAAGGTTGAAGCCAAAGAGTTCACTACCAAGTCCAGTCAGATAGAAGACCTGTGGGAGGAGAGAGGTCTTGTCACTGGATGGAAAGAAATCCCAGCAGCTTCCAAAAGTAACACATAAGAGTGAGTCCTGGAAACATCAGGTAGTTTAAATACAGAAATGAGAGCAACTCAAGAACTCGTACATCCATTTAGAAAAAGAAATAGAATCAAGAGTTCTTCAAACCAAGACTATCTATACCCAAGTCTAGCCACCTCCCATCAGGTGTATGTGTTATGCTTTCCATTCATTAAATTTATCTGTGACCACTTAGTGCCATAATTACATATGGGATTATGACAGAGTGCATGGGTTGAGGTGCTACATAACATGCTGAAATAAAATGCATTTGGGGGAGGTAGAGGGTCTTCGACTTGCAGGTGGTAGCCCAACAAGTTTGAAGTTAAACCATCAAGGTGGCAACTTTGGACTGAAAGTCCTATCACTATGCACCACTCATGAAATTTCAAAATCCATACCTGTGAATGTTGGCTTTCTCTAGATGAGGAGTAGCTTCACCTCTTCAATCCTGATTACACCGGTCAAATTGGTTACATAGTCTGTGGAGTCACATACACCTGTGGAGTCCTGTGAAGTTTGCTGTGTTTCACTTCAGAACACCTACTAACCCAACAAGGTATCTGGCCTTGCATGTACATAGACAGTCCCATATTCCTGCCTTGAGCTAAAGAATGTGACTTGAACAGCACCTGAAGAAACTAATCCTTCATGAAGATTATTAGTTGAATGAGAAATCCTAAATTTCATGGGATCCCCAAGCATTATATTAGAAAGTTAAGAAGACAGAATGAGGATATGTTTAAAATGAGGAGATCATTTGTCAAGGTTGGCTTAATTTTCTGTTCACAAAGGAATTATCTGCCAGTAGAATGAAAAGAGTCACAGCAGACTCATCTGTGATGTTGCTCACAAATGTGTGCTGTTCAGTAGGACAAAATTGCATTAGGTGCCAAATGATGGAGAATCAAGTGTATCTGTTCTCCAGAAGGCAATAGAAGAATGAGTAGAAAGGTCCTACGGGGGGCCAGGAGGATGTTACACAAGGGTGGTTTCTGCCTTTCCCTTACCTTCTCTCCCATATCATGGGACAGGCCTAACTTCTAAACATTTCTTGTTTCATCCTTTCATTTCCTCCTCAATCCCATCATCAAAGCATTAGTCATTTCTCTTCTGCTCAACTGCAAACATCACCTAACTGATGGCTCTGCTGCCATTCCTACCCCACTTTAATTCATCTTCCACAATCCCCTCAGCCTTTATCAATCCAACCCAATCCTTGAAATTCTTCAACAAAACCCCACTGGGTATCTGTAGTGAAATCCAAACTTTTCCCTCAAATTTTATTAATTTTTCAGTCATTTACATAACCATATAACTTTAGGGGTACATGTTCACACCTCCATTTGCATATGCACTTCACTCACCCTCCACCAAAACTCCTGTGTCTTCCCCTATCCTCTTCTGCCTCCACCACACCTTTCCCTCTAGTAGCCAGCATATTTTTTTTCAGAGACTAAGAATTATTTTTGCTGTGTGTTGCCAGTTTGCCTAATTTTGTTTCTGATCAAAATTTCTCCCCAATTATTATGCTAATTATAAAAATGGGCAATATAGAAAAACACAAAGAAAAAGATGAAATTCATCCTTAAGTTCACCATCCATATGTAACAACTGCAAATATTTTGCCATGTAATATAAATGTTCTCTGGGAAGCATTTAGATCATTTAACATGAATACCAAAAATATAATTTCCCTCGATCTCATGACTGTACAGTGTCATCTCGGAGGTTGACCTACCCTCAAGGGCTCCCTCATTCATTTCTTAGGAGTCTGAGGTGGAACCCACAGGTGCCTGGGAAGAAACCAGCATGTGATCATCCACTTCAATCTCCTTGTGAAGATTCTACTGCATTTCAAATCATATGGAGGGTGCCTCTGCTGCAGGTATGACCAGAAGAACATTGGGCCTGGTCCTTCCACTGGGTACAACCGGCCTCTCCACTCCTATGTGCTGACACAGAGAGGAAAGAATCCTCTTACTCCACCCTCTGGGGTGATTTGGTCACTGAGTCCAAAGGAAATGTTATTATACTCAGAATCACAAAGTCTGGCAAATGGAGCAGATGCCAGGCCATTCCCTCATTCCTTCATTCTCCAAGCTCTTCCCAAGCACTTACTCACCCCAAACACACACAATACAGGAGGGGAAACCCCACAAACTACAACATCAACACTTTTTCCTCTTTCAAGAAAGAAAACGACCAAGTCCTCCCAGTACATACTAGCAAACATTTACACTATGCTTTCAATGTGACAGACACTATTCTAAACACAACCCACACACTAGTTTCTTTAATCCACAACAATCCTATGAGGTAAGTATCATTGTGCCTTCATTCTATAGAGGGGAAATTGAAGCATAGAGAAAAATAGGGAGGGCAAATACCTTGCCAATGGGCTGAGTCTGGATAGACCTGCTTGAGTTTTTGTGATGCTATTGGGTTTTGAAAACAGTAATCCAGTTTGACATTTACTGGAGTACATGTTAATCTTGCATCCTTCTAGCTTTTTCCTCTATGCATATATACATGTCCATATGCCTGAACTTCTCAGCATTCTACCCAACTCCCTGCACAGCCCATTTTACCCCACTCTCCACCACCCACCCCGGGGGGGCAGGCACTCAGAACCGTGCAGCCCTCCCCAAGCTCTACGGGTTTTGCAGCCTCTTCCACCTTTGCACTTGGCTTCTCTCCTGGCCTTCTGCACTGCAGGTGGACCCTGACTCATCTTCCCATTCCTGGTCTGGGCGCTCTGTGGTCTCAGGCCTTTCCTGACTTCTCCGGGTAGCTGGATGTGGCTTCCTCTCCACTCCCATGCTCTAAACCTTCTACCCGTGTTTTTAGAATTCTTCATGCTTAAGTCTAACTTCTCTTGGAACTGCGAGCCCCTATAGGGGTGGGTGCTTTGTTTTATTTACTGTACCCCGGTGCCTACTACAGCGCCAACTCATTTTAATAAACTCATTAATTTTTACCTTTGAATATTTATTGTATTTTTCAACAATGTCTAGGACAGATGATTTCATGTCTTTTCTCAGTTGTTGATTGTAGTCTGGAACTCATTCTACCTCAGTCTGTTTTTCCTAATTAAATCTACATTCTTTTCTCTGTCTGTTTGATAATTACCACAAGGTCTGTTTCTTTTTCTTCTGCAGAACTTTGTAAAGTGGCATATACACACTTGAGGTGTTAAGGCATCATAAATAACCTTAAAAATGCAAGTACCAGTCTATGTCACGCCAATCTTCCCTCCATCATATGGTTGCAGGCCCGCACTCTGTGGAGGCTGCAGCCCCCTGCCCCCCCCCCCAACCTCCCAGCACTGTGGTTCCGCACAGGTATCCAGGGCTCCCACTATGTTTTTGTCGCCTCCAACCGGGTGGCCAGTAGCAGTATTCTCCATATGAAGGACAATCATGACAAGATGTTTAAGGTGAGTGACCAAAATCTTACTGTTTTGGAGAGGCTGGAGATACTGTAGAGTCTGCAGCGTATATTCAGAAAAAGGTGCAACTTTATGTGAAATGGTTATGAATTGTTTCCCACAGCAGCAGCTAATTTCATATGCAGTAACCTGGATGACTGACTTTGGCACTGGACCCCATACCAGGTTAGCCTCCTCCTGGCTGGCTACCACGAGCATGAGGGTCCACACTCTATTATGTGGACCACCCGGCAGATTTGGCCAAGGTGCCTTTCACAGCCCAGCATCCTGTGTTCACTCAGGATACTAGCCTGGCATCTTAGGGCACTCAGTATCCTAGACCACTACTGTACACCAACTCTCTCATCCAAGGAGGCAGTGGAATGTCTCAGGAAATGTCTAGAGAAGTTCCAGAAATGTTTCATCCTGAATCTGCCAACCTTCAGTGTTCCAATCATTCACAAAAGTGGCCCACTCTGTCCCTGGTGAATCCTCTCACCCCCCACATCTCTGGCCTGTGCTCCAGCTCTTGTATGCATAAATAAATCTTTAAAAAAAAAAAGAAATAGAAAACCTGGGGGGGAAAAAAAAGTGGCATCCATAATGTGGACAGCCTTTCCTTCCCTAATGGGGCTCTTAATCTCTACCCTCCTTCCCACTTGCACAAAACTATTTTTGATGGGCACCTTTGATTTCTTTTTGACATGCACTCTTGATGAATGTTTCAGAATAAATCTGAATGTCATAAAATCGGAAAAAAATTGTTAAGTGCCAAGACACATTGCCCAACTCCATATCACCCTTCCTGGATGAGGAAGTTCTACCTTTTATGGTGAACATTCAAGCTAATTTTAAATTTTCATTGCTTTGAGGGTAGAAGTTTTGGGTTTGTAGTGTCTTTTAAGTCCTACTGCACATGTGACAATATGAAAACACCCCAGTTTATTTTAGGTTCTTAGGATAATAGCAGAAATTGAACATCTATATGTAGATGGATAGATAGATGGATGCACGCACACACACATATATATGCATATATACGACATTATGATCACCACCAAAAGTTTGTTTTCAACCCTTCACCTCACATTTGATTCATTTTATTTACTCAAACCACCACTCTTCCCTGTTTTAATCACTATTTTGCTCCTATAGTTTTTTGTTTTATTTGTTCATTAGCTTTGTTTTTTTATTGTTCACATATGAAGTTTGTACATATGGTGTTTGTAGTTCTCCACTTGACTTATTCTACCAAACATCATACCTTCTAAGTCCATCTATGTTCCCAAATGGCAAGATTTTATCTTTAAAACTGAGTAATATTCCATTGTGTGTACATATCACAATGGAATTGTGGATAATTTTCTTTATCCATGTTTCTATGACGTACTTTATTTAGCTTTATATTGATACTCTATACAGTCTGTAATAAATTATTTAGACAGCCTCACTTCCCACCTCCTTCTTGTACCTTCACTTGGGTCAAACCCAGGTAG